TATAATAAACGTATGGAATAATTATGTATTATCTAGAAATTGTTACTTGTAAATATCAAGTTTATGCAGATTGATTACTGATAAATGTAGGTAAGTAATGACAATGGAAAAGATGTTCACCCAAAACTTAAACTCAAAAGAATTATATCCGCTATACCTTCTATCTAGAAAGCACGGGTTTTTGAATATATTTGTATATTTGTAAGCAAAGGCTATGGAAAAATATAGTTTGTCTTTATTTCGAAAATATTATTGTTTTGCTCGTTAATTTTCCTGTTGCAACAGTGTAGATTGACCGTGAAGTTTTGGTACCTATCTACCTTTGGCCACCCCTCAGTTTACATTTGTTATTGCCTGCCGTATTGTTGTGGTTTAACGACTCAACAATAGACATATGAAGTACAACACTCTGGATTACCCATAATTCCAAGTCATAGTGTGAAAAACAAAAATACTCAAATACATCGTTCTTTTAAGATCTTTATTGCAGTTTGAAACATATTATATGAGTGTATTTTTTTACCAACCGTCTAATGAACTATACACAGTTATTAACATAGTAATTATAAGTACCACTGTCTGTTTTGCTATTGGTGTCGTGTTTAAACGGCACCCCATCATGTTGAAATCTGCTATGTGTTGGGGTATAGATACGGTTCCGGTCAGTTATCACAGTATCAGGTGGGTTTAGGAGGACTTTTTTTGCACCATTACATCTGCAATCAGACGTCCTGGTCCACAATCGTGAAGGGGGCCTTCCAGGTGTTTGTGACGGGGCCCTAAGTGGTTGGGGGCCTGTAAGCAACTGCAGTCTCTGCTTACCGATATTTATGCCATTGACAGTATATACACAAAACATTTAAAAGCTCTTTCAAATCCACAGAACCTTTTGAAGCATTTATACACTCTGAACTATTATAAATAATGTTGCTTATCTGCAAAGTTATTGTTATCATTATTATTATGTTTCATAAAACAATAAAAAGTGTCGTGTAAGAGGTAAACAAGCACAGGTTTGTTTAGATCTTCCCACAGCTGGGGTGATTGCTTAGGGGGTGTGGTCCCTTGGTATTTTAGAAGATAGGAGTGTGCCCCACAGGCAGTTGGGTGAGAAGGTTTTGTCAAACTTTTCTGTTGACCGTCGTCAGTTGTAACTTTTTGGAAAATAAATACAGCTCACCAAACTTCTCTGCCAGCAGCGGCTCTGTTGGTGGATCGAAGTCTCTACATGGTGTCTGCTAAGTGATGATGGCAGGAGGATGACAGTGTAGGAGGATCGACGAGGCCCTTTGCTGGGTTCTGGAAGGTTTAGATCAGATGGAGGGTTTTTACAATTACAAAAAAGTTACCCCTTACTCTTAAACCCCTATAGCCTGGTACATTGACCATTTATTCTGAGAAGCATGCCTGAAAGAGGCATGACAACTCTGGAGGAACGGCAGAGATCCATCAGGTGGAGGAAAGAATCAACAGAACAACCAAGCTTTTTTATCCCTCATACTAGCCATAAAAAGTCCTATTTGTAGTTCTCACAAACAATTATTATGGGGGAAATTTTGCTCCTTTCAGATTAATCAAACCCTTTGGAGGAAAGTTAGCATTTTACATGTTGGAAAAAGTGTTATTAATATCTTTTATGAACTCCGAAATACCCCAAGGAGCAGCTGGATCAAAGTAAGGCCTTGTGACCTTCATAGCAGGCATTTTATCTCTATGACCTGGAGGAACAAACAAGGCTGTGACTGTTAACTGTAATATTGTTTTACTTTGATACATCGGGCCAACGAGCATATTTCAGCTGGAGGAGAAAGAGAGAGCTAACAATATTAGAAAGAATCTTTTTTCTGTATTAGTTTAGTCCATCTGAACTTAACACTCCCATGGTTAAACATAGAGGAAGCAGTATAATTATGTAGGGAGGCTTCTGTTCAGCAGGATTTGGTAGGATCATCAGGGTTTAGATGATGACTATTTATCTGTATTTTTAGCTTTTAAAATAAGGAGAAACACAGAACACAAAACACAGGGCACAGATGAGGCATTGATTTAGTTCTGTAGGATAACATTTAACGTAAAAGAAAGAATAAAATGCATAATTTCCTAATAAGAATAACATATTTCTTGTTCTTGTAATGCCATTCTGTTCAATTCAATTCAGTTTATTTATATAGCGCCAATTCACAGCACATGTCATCTAAAGGCACTTTACAGTTCACCAGATCATACAGTCAAACTGTTTCAAAGTTTTCAACTAAGAAAAACCAGTTGATTGCATCAACTCATTGACTCAAATGCAATCCCTCACACTAAGCATGCTTGTAGCGACAGTGGAGAGGAAAAACTCACTTTTAACAGGAAGAAACCTCCAGCAGAACCAGTTGTAAAAAAGGAATATTAATATTAATAAAGCTTCTAAAGCTGGTTATTGTTATTATACCACATTAACTGGTTCTTCATATAATTTCAGGGTCCTTGTAGAGGATTTAAAGAGCAAAATGCTGCTCCAGCGCCAGGTGGCAGAACCCTATGTTAGGATGAGCCACTCAAAGTCTGTTGTCCTTAGTCTCCGTTGAGTCAGACTAAGATTTCCACTGAATTGATGAGCTACTGAGGGGAAGTTACATTTGACACTCCCAGCAGAAAACAGTGGGGTACTCAATATGTGGACATATTGAGCCTGGGTTGGCCCTCACAGAGGATTCTTCCAACCCAATGACCTTAGAGAGGAAGAGCCAAAGCCTCAGTTCACTATATGCACAAAAAAGGATGTTGGCTATTTTATGCTTCACAAAAAGTGTTGACCTGCAGATGTACATTTAGCAGGTTCTCATAGGTGCTCACAAGGTGCTATGCTTAAATAATCTTATAAGAAACATAAAAAAGACAGCTTCCAAAAATTACAATCTTTATATTCTCATCGTCTGCTTTCTTTGTGTTGATTGGAGCCACCTTAGGATATGGCTTCACAGTGAAACTACAGTACTACCACACATCCGCACACACACACACACACACACACACACACACACACACACCTGGTGTGGCCCAGAAACACACATTTACACACATGCGCTGTAATTACTGCGGAAGCTGAGCGCCTCGTCTCCGCCCCCCTGGGCCACTTGGCAGGGCGTTGCTAGGCAACAAGGTCTTTTCCGATAAAGGGGTGTCGTTTGCGTTTGCATGTGGTGGCGGTTGATGGAAGGAGGTGTGGTGTACAGACGTCTCTGGTCCGTTACCGCTACTGATACGTGAAATGCACAAAGGAGAGTTTTTATTTTAATTTATTTTTTTTGTATAATTTGCTCTAACATCACTGTGAAAGCTAGACTTTCACAATAATGTATGATTTTATCTCCATAGTTAATGTTATAAGTGATGCTGCAGCAGAGAGGGGAAATCTAAGCGGAACCAAATGCGGTCAAGTTCCTCTTTAGAAAACACACCATGCTGAACCTTCTTTTGTCTATTTGCTTTGATTGCCACTAGATGGCGCCATTGCCCAGAGTTGCTTGAAAGTTGCATTGCTTCCTGTAGATGCCATAACAAATAACAATGAATGTTGTTAAATTGTTAAATGTTGAATTTCTTCCTTATAATGATAATTAAATATCGTGATTATTTTTCACTATCTTTAGCCAACGTTTTTATTTAGAATATGTTTTCACATGTTTAAACTAAGTATGCAACAAATTTAATAATAATGCTTTATATAACTACACAATGTTGCAGCTGGTAAACACCTTTTCCTTAATTGTTTAGTGTATTTATTTTCTGCCTGTGCTTCACATGTTACTATCACAGTCACACATGATGCAGCTCCTTAACTTTGATCATTTTCATCATCTTTGTGCCAAAGTCCTTTGAATGTGGGGTATTTAAAATTTGTTTTTTAAAAACATTTTTAAATGCCTCTTTTAATGATTGAATGTATGTATTATTATTGTTAATATTATTATTTCTGTTCTTATTGTTTGATTAGAACCAGTATAAGTCCCTTGTTGACCTGCACTGCTACTAGTTCTTCACATTGTGTTACCCTGCACTTTCACTAGACAGAATCAGAAAAAAAATCTGAATAATTGATGATCTTAAAATAAAAAAAATATTACCCATAGCACTGAACAAAATTAAGGATAATTATTACCTATTTCCTTTCCTCAACACCACCACCTGTACTTTCAATCAATCCCAGCCTATATTCATGGGTTGGGCCCATCGCTGTAGTTATCTTTATTCAGTTATATATTACCTGCAATTTTCCTTAATTTATAAATTAATGTGGCACAAACCTTGAGTGACAATCGAACTAATCTGTCAAAGTTGTTTTATAAAAAAAACAAAAAAAAAAACAGCCTTTGAATTATTTTCAGGAGCAATAAAATGTATAGGAAGCATTGTTGTTTG